AAAGTAACCAAATTTGCTCTACGTGATGGACATACCCTATTTGAAAATCAAATGTTTCTGCTAGAAAAGAAACTTGGAAAACCAAACTAACCAAGATTCCCTTGCTTCACGAGCTCCTTTTCCTCCTCCAGTTTACGCCTTTCATACTCGCCATCCAGATATAGCAGCAGATTTTCTTCTTCTTTCTCAGAAGTGCGCTGAAATATTCATGGAGCTATTCGAGAATAATCCACCACCAAAATCCTCTCCTACTGCACTCACCAGAGCTTCTTTATAGAAAACATTTCGCAACCGTTTCTCGAGGCGTTTCCGTTGTTCATTGGCGTTAATTTGTGCTCGCAAATAGTTAGAATCAACTGTAAGCAAAATTCAAGGAAAATTCATTTGACAAACTGTAATTGTAAAACCTACACTGCTCCAAATGTTCATCACTGAAATTGGGCTCTCCATAAGCATGATAGGGCAGCAACCGTTGCAAAACGTCACGGAGGTCAGTGAATGGCGTTTCCGTATCCGGATTGGCCAAAGTGCCGTGAAGATCTTCAAAGTAGTTCCGCAACCTAAAAATGGGAGTTCCTAGTTTGTGAGACTTAATTAACAAATGATATATGATGAGGATCTATAAAACATGAAAGAAACCAGATCAGTATTTTAAATGAAGAAAAACACCATGACCTACCGACTCAACCTAGCAGCCCGTTTCTCTTCGAGTCGCTTCGCCGTCTGCGCAGGTGTTGGTCTTGGCGCAACAACCACCTCAAATACCTACGGTAAACTTCATAGCATGACAAACTAGCACTCAATAATACATCCTGCTGGAACCTTCGCACTACTTTCGAATAAGCCATAATTTACCATTTGCGGCGCTGGCTGTACAGGAGCGGGAGCCAAAACGATCTGAGCAGGTAATGGAGAGTTCTGCACTACTTGTGTTCGGACTTGTGCCCCGGTAGCCGACTGACTTCCGGCGTTAACTATCATTTGTGAAGCAGCAACCTGCTGCACAATGACTTGCTGTGCTCCGGACACATGTCGCAACTGCAAAATAAAAATTTCACACAAAAGTAGTCAATTTTTTTCACAACTAACTAGATACAAAACAATTCAATATCCTACCTGATGCTGTTGCCGAACGACTTCGCCTACAGTAGGTTGATTTGTCGTGTACTGAGCTTGTGAAGCCTGCGGAACATTCTGAACGTATACGGTACCTGGTGGAAGCGGCTGCGTTTGGAAAACAGCGGTCGTAGCATTTTG